GTGAAATAAGCGTGAGCGCGAATATAAATATTAGTGTGCATTTGCTTGTCTGTCTGAAAAATTGTTCTCAGTCAGTTTTGCATGTAGTTTACAAAAATTAAATTCGATACTAGAAACTTTATTAAAATTATTTCATTTAAAATTAGCATATGTATGAAAAAAATTGGAGATTAGGAAGATAGTGAAATGATATTTGCTACAAAACAGGCGAAGAAGATCTAATGCAGTGATTCGTATTTGAATCCATGCTGTAGGTGAGTAAACTTTACTTGTTTCGTATTATACAGAAGGCAACACTTTAGTATTTTCAATAATCAAACGCTTTCCCATATTAGGTACTGCGATATTTCAACTTTTCATGCTCAATTCAATTATTGAGAGATATGTGTCAGAAAAATCTCCTTACATTTGTATCCATAATAACAAAACGACTGCAGCAGTCAATATGCTAATGTCAGTTAATTCCATCATTGTTTTTCTTAGATCCACTCTGTGATCATTCGCTAGCTTGCATGAATTTAAAACATACTTTACTACTGATTGTTAAGTTCATGTGTCGGAACAAACAGATTCGAGCAAGCGATTCCTTTATTGTAGTTCAAATGAGTGTAGATTGGATCAGGTATTTATAAATGTCAATTCAGTATAATAATTTACTGATAATAAAGTTCAGTTACAACTCGCTCGGAGATATATCTGTACTGATAGAAATATCTGTTCTCATCAGCTAACTTGCTTGAGAAAATGATTCCAGTTCGGAATCATTTTTTCCCATATAAACCATATATAATCTCTTCTCGTCTTGACTTAAGAATGAATCGATAATCGTCTCTTTCTCTTTGATAATAATAATAATAATTATTATTATTATGTTTGCAAGAGTGGCTAGTTGATAATGTAGCTGAACAATGAAAATTAATTAATAATAAAAGTAAATAATAATGATAAATGAGAAAAATAATCTCGCCATTATCTTATTATTCTTGCGATTAAGCAACCAGTTTATTATTTTGTTTTTTAATTTTTTCATTCTAGTCTTTATTACTTCATGCATTGTTCAGCTACATTATCAACTAGCCACTCTTGCAAACAAACTTCTATTAATTAATATCTCAAAAGTGGGGAAGGAAGTGAAAAATAAATTTCAGATTGAAACATAATTTTTAATGCACATATTCTGAACTTCATTATCCTTATACATTGTTACTGATTAATTTACTTGTTATTAATAGCAATAGTGATAAAAGTATCATTGATATCTATGACTTTGAAAGCTAAAAATAAGTTTGAAATAAAGATGACTGCAACTTCAACACTATCAATACAAAATGTATTGAAAAAATTAGCGTTAAAAATCAATTTTATTAATTATATTTATTAATATATGTGATAATTTTTTTTTCACTTTTATCATTTCGTTTTCGGTATACTTTGTCGCGCCAAACAAAATCTTCATGTGAAAAAATGTAAAGTAATTTGCTTATAATGCTTTATTCCTGACTTCCTTCTGAGTATTTTTAAGGATGTTTCTTCAATAAATTTTATAAACAACACTAATTCTTTACAACAACTTTGTAATTTATTACTCGAATGTAATCATCAATTTGCACTGAAAGATTTTATGTAAGGGATAAATTAGATCGCAATTAATTGTACACGAACGTTTTATTGATTAAAGTCATTTTGAATATTTTAAAATTATTCAAATTAGGGATATTTAAATCTCTTGCAAAAGCGTGAAAAAAAATTGCTTAAGAGTTAGCTACCATGATTTTTGACTCTTTATGAATAAACTGCAGTTGTATAGTAAGAAACATTTTGCAAATAATCGTTAAGAGTCAGTTTTGAGTATTTTATTCACTAAAACATGTTCTTCAATATTAAATGAAAGCTCAGTGGCAAAGCTGAAGAAAAAAAGCATTGCATGCAACCCTTTCAGCATATAATGTTCATTATTCAATATTTAATAGGTGAAGTTTGTTACTGAATTAATATTTTATTAAGCTGAACTTTGTTCTGCAAAAAAGTTTTTAGCATTGATTATTTACTATATTAAATGAACTTTCACTCAACGTGATATCTAATGGGAGAATATCTTTGCGAATTCTCACAGAAGTTAATTACATAAAAGGCATTAAAGAAGTATGGCATCTAACCGGTAAAGACACAATGACCTTCTAAGAGTGATCAGAGTCTATTTCATGGTCATTTCTTCAATGACTTCATCCAATCACGTTAATTTATGCAAAAGGAATGAAATGTTGAGGTCATAATAAGTGTATAAAGTAATACACAATTTTTGGTGACTGATTAATACCAAAGCGAAAATGGATGATAGTTTATTACGATTAATTAATTCAGCTTAGAAAGATCAGTTTGTGTAAATGAGTAGTTAATCAAACCTAATTAAGTTCAGAAGATAAAATTCGTAAAACAAATAAGTAAGTACTAATGGATTTAGTAAAATAAAGGTAAAATTTTCAAAAGAAGTAAAGCAAATATTTTTTCTTACGTTTTATTCGCAGTAAAATGTAAACTCTAAAATAGTATATAATAGCTTGCATCTAAGATTATAACTTTGTTATTCATAAATAAATCAAAATTATCAATATAATTTCTGGAAAAATTTTTGTAAAAAAATTAATTCGAAAGTTAACTATGAACGGAATATAATCAGAGATAATCAATAAATCAGAAGAAATGATGCAATGAATTTATACTTTGTTGATAATTTTACTTGCAAGCAGCGATTAAATTTGTATATTTTTTCTTCTGCTCAGATCCTTTCTCTGACCAATTTTGGGGTTAATCAAGGCTAATTTGCCGTTGAATATGAACAAATTAAATTCGTTTACTTTTTACAGCAAAGCAAAATACTCTCTCTTTACTCTCTTTACACTGTTTTTTATATGAAGGACGTATGGTAATGCAATGACTTAAGACTATTTCTCCAAAATTCTTTCCTCCTTTTTGTCATCCATAAAAAGTCTTTTCTTTCTAAAGTCCAAAAATGATTACCATTCATTCTTTCTTTTGGAATTGAAATGCAAAACTTATTACTTCATTTTGTATTTATAAGACAAGTTTTTCTTTTTTACGTTTCACTCACTCATTCATTGACTAAAATGTGCTAGAAAATGAGGCCATTGCAGTAATTAACCCATCAAATTACCCAAAGTACCATTCATATTTTCACGATATCTGCCAGAATACTTTCTTCTTTTTACCTTTCATATATGTAAACTCTAATTTATTCAAACTTCAGCCAGAAATAATGTGTGAGTTTTTTTTTTTTGCATCTGTTAGTTGCTTATTTGCTGTAATTTAAGTTCTGATTACAAGCTAAGCTAAAATTTAGTGCTCAAAATAAATTTTTTTATTACTTGCGAGTTAAGCAATTTTTTAATCTTTATCGTGATAAAAATTAGCATAGTACTTTTAATACTCACTTGTTATTTTACACCAGTTTTTATTTTACCATAAATTGTTTAAAATTTTTTTTTAATCTTATCAAAAATTCTTATTTGATATTTCAAGCTAAAAATTTCTAACTTTTTTAGTCTCAAACATTAAAAATGCAATTGTTTTCGTCATTATTTTCTTCCACTTTTGGTTTTTCTTTTTTCTTCCGTTTGATCAGTTCGAAGCAATCTTACATTAATTTGCTTGAAACAAACTCTTTCGTTCTTTAAAGCAATTCATTTGTTTTTCTATTTGTTTGATATATTTTTGACAAATGTTTATTTTTATTAAAAATTAATTACAATATTTTAGTAAAAAAGAAATATTCTTCGCTCCAAAACTTCGAGCATTTAGCTATTTTCATTTCATGAATAACCAAACTAAACAAAGTGTTCTAACTTTTTTTGCTTTCTTTTGTATCATTTAAAATTGTGCAACAATTTGTAAAGTTATTTTTAGTGCTTATTTAAAAATTACATCCTTAACGAAAGACAGAACTGATAAGTGAATTTTCTTTATTCAAATGTGTGCGAATAAATATAAAAACATGCAAAATATGCTCAAGTTTTCATCAATAAAAATGCATTAAGTTTAAACATATCGTTTCATCCTCATTAACAATCATTTAAGTAAATAATTATCGTTCAATATAGTAATAACACTTTCATTAAACTGCAATTCACTGTCATATTTTGTCGCATATTTAATAGATTTCAGTTATGTATAATTTATTTCTAAGCAGTAAACATGTTGCAAAATTTGGCATCAAAAGTTGACAGCTTACTGTAATATAATGTTGCTCATAAGCAGACAATTTAAAAAAATTTTCATTCTTTATTTTATTAACATTGCATAAACAATAACTATCATATTTTCAGAAATTATTCATGCTGGAAATACACACGCATAGATGATAATCTTTTTATTTAATTCAAATAGTTATTAAAATATTTCGCATTCATTTGCAACTTTTATACTTATAAAATTATTTGCTTTCGGTTATAAACATTAAAAATATTTGGAGAGCGATAATAAAACAAAGTCAAAACACTTTTTGAATGCAATTATTTTGCTTATAGATATAAAAATTTACTATCGCATCTAATTTAATGTAAATTATACTAATTAATTGTCATTTGTAAAGAATAAAGGAAGTGGTAAACATGTTTCTTTTTAGAAATCGCAAAAAATTTTCAATTAAAAGAAATGATGAAAAATTTGACTATGATTCTATGGTTTCGCTACTCATTTGCAAACAGTGCAAAATAAAGTTTAAAAACTTTAAATACAAATGAAGAGAATTGACAAACTTTAAATAATTAATTTAAAAAAAAGTATCTTTTTATATAAAATTAAAGGACAATTTTTTACATTTCTTTTGTGATTAAACATTTTTAAGTATTTAAAAGCATTTATTCATATTATATTATGTTATGTTTAAATCTAATTCTATTAAATTACTACTGCAATTAGCCATAAAATAATTAATTTTATTAAATGACAAATTTTGTAAAAAAGATTCAAAAATTCAGGGGGAAATGTGGCAAACTTATACTTTATGGACAGCTTACCTAATAACAATAAAGTTAGGTATTATTGGTAATATATGGGTGATTTGCTCAGTTATGCGAAATGCACGACCACGAAATTATCGCTGGTCATGTCAAAGGCCAAGCGATCGTCTCAGAAGTTTTATTTTTGTCTTAGCAATTGTTGATTTTGTTGTCATTTGTTCGCTTTTTTTGCGTATTATTTATGCGTTCGATGAAAACTTAGTTTTCGGTGAGTAATTATTATAAAATTCTTATTTTATAATTTAAATTTAAATTTAAAAAACTTTCAAAAATCAATTTCTTGAAGAAAATTAAGTATGGCATTGAGATTTATAAGAAAAGCAAGTACGATAAACTGAAAAGAGTATACTTCATTTTGCTTTTATTTCTAATATAATCAGTCTAGAGAAGTTTGTGATAATATTTTATTTATTTGTTAAAGAAATATTATGGTGCTAAAATTTTACACTTTATTTTTTATTGTACTTATTAATTACTTATTAAATTCGAAGAGAAATGGAGTTGTCAAGGATTATTTTTTCTTGAGCAAATATCAAAAATGGCTTCCATGTTTTGTTTGGCATGTATTAGCCTTGGAAGGTACATTACTATTCGTAAACCATTCAGTAGTCAGGTAAGTTTCTTTATTTTTATGATTGATGTGTAGTAAATCAAATAGGACTACTTTATTCACTATCACTTGAGCAGTTTCCGTTTATCAAATTGGCTACACTTATCTTAACAACTAAATATTCAAATTTCACTTGTATTTTTATGAATTAGAAAATAATGCAAGAGATGCCCTGTACTTTGATAAACATTGTGTCAGCGAATCAATTTCAAACAACTTTATGATTAAAATCTTACGGTTGAAAATTCTCAGTTAAAGTCAGAAGCAGTCAGCTGACCATTTGTTTCCTTTTGTTACAATTTCAGATTCGTAGTCGTTTTTACCGAAGTGTTCCAGTGATAGTTTTTTTGCTATTTATTTGCATTCTGATTCCTATTTTATTCACATCAGAAGAAATTGAAACAAGCGTGGATAAACAAGATTGCATTATCAATGCGAGTAATCAGTGGCATCAGCCAAACAGTATTTGTGTTGCATTAACTTTCACAATTTTACTTGTGCTCGTCAGTGTAAATTACGGAGAAATCGTACGACATGTGCGTCAAAAATTTTCAAAACGAAAAGCACGAGGTTTGTTTGATACAGTTAACTTTGCATAAATTGTATTTGAAATCAGTTTTTGTTCAAATTTATTGTGCAGTAAGAAAATATTGATATCTTTCATGCAATAAAAAATTCCATTCTGAAAGTATTTTATTGTCTTTCAAGTAAAGCGGGAAGCAAAGATTTTTCCATGAAATCACTTTTTTTAATTTCAATATTTAAATGTAAAAAAATTTCTCAGAATCTGCCAACTTTAACAATAATCAACAACGATTATCAGAACCACGTTACATGCGTGAAATGACTTCATCAATTGCTCGTGTGGCAGTTTTTCACATAATTTGTTGGCTTCCGTTTTGCTTCTTTTCGATCGTTTCTATTAAAGTAAATTTCTTATTAGTTCATAAAATTCAGTTAGCTCATTATTGGCTAAATCTTTAACGTACCCTAATGATAAATAAAAATAGATAAATGAAATAAAAAATTACAAGATTAATTGTTTTGCCTCACATTCATATCAGGCTATAATGTGATAATTTGTGTAAAACATGCTGAAATTTCGAATTTTCAGACTTGGTCACTGGTATCTGTATCAATACGACCGATCCAACGGGTTAAAGATAAACAATGTTGGGTTCTGTGGGTTTATGTCATAGTAAATTGGCTAACATACTTAAATTCAGCGTTAAATTGGATTTTCTACGCGGTTATGAATCGAGATCTCAGGGAACTTATTAGGTAACACTTTATTTAATAGCAAAAGTAAAGAACTTTCCAAAACAAATGGTTCACTACCAGTTTCCAGTTTTACTTGGAAACTTTTGCAGTTTTAGGAGTAATAACAAGTTATGAATCTCAATGAAATAATTAAGAAAACCTTTCTTGTGTAATACATAAAATGAATGTGTCTAATTTTTCAATTTCTGCAAACGTTATGAGAAATAAATTTATTTGATATTATCTTACAAATTTAATGAAGAAATAAATATTGGCACAATTACAACTGAAAAGTCATTATGACAATAATTAATTTAGTAAGATGTAAAGCAGATTTGCATATTCCAGAAATTCTAATATTATGCAGGTATTAAAACCAGCTGTAAAAGCTGTATTTATTTTGATACATTCCGTAGATCTAATCGCAATTGATAATCTTTACCCATCAATGATATCAGAAATAGCTGGAATATAATTGTTATGAATCAAAAATTTTTATTCACTATTGTCAAACATTTTTTGTTAATATTTAAATTTAGCTTTGAAATTGCTCATAAGTTGTACAAAAATTAAATGAGTAACAATTCTGGACACTATGATTAATTATGAGATAATATTCTCAATGAAATTTTTGCGCTTATTTTTCGTTTAGGAGTAACACGGAGCGACGAAAACGTAGCACATTAACTCATTGTTCATCACCAAATATTATAAATAAAAACTTTGGGCAACGTTTGGGCAGAACTTTGAGTATGATACATTCATCAACAAGTCCCAAATCTGTCGCACTGAAAATTGTGACTGCAGCAAATACCAAATACTTGTCAACTTCACAGAGTTCACATGGTATATATTTATATTTTAAAAAATTGATTTCAAAGTTTTTAAAGTTATCAGCATTATAAATGACTTTTTATGCTTTTACTTACGTATGAAATTTCGTATTATTTAATTTGTGCTCAAATATTTTTCAGACTGTCAACACAATTCCATGAAAGCAATTTTGAACGATGAATGCTAGGTTTATTTTTACAAAATAACTTTTGATCGAAAGTTAGAATTATTTTTTAATGAACTAATGATGATGCTATAATATTCATTAAAATCATTTGATTTTTGCCAGTCATAGCAAAATGGAAATGATAATGCTGATAAATCCGTAATCATTGAAAACAAAACAAAGTTTCAAATTATTTATCAGAAATTAAAATAAGAAAAGTACCTGTTCATAATGCTTACAGATAACGGACAAAAAAAAGCTTCAATTTTGAAACAGTCATTAAAACAAAAGTAAAAAAACATTTACAGATTGTAGTAATGCATTGAAAAAATTTATAACAACAAAGGCATGAATGAAGTGAATAGTAATTACCAAGAATATGAGTGAAATCCATTTACAAATTAATGCTTAATCGTTTCAGAATTTTCACCTGAAATGGATCGCTCCATCATGATTTTAATGATAATCATAATTACAGGAGATTTCAATTATTATAATACATAATGTAACTTGTAAATGAATATACGGGTATTTTTTCTCTTGCATTTTGTCATCCATTCAATCATCCAAATTATGATTATTATGGTAATAAAGTAATGTGGCTTTGCTCAAATTTCAAATGTAACTCAACGAATTATAATCATGAGAGTTTTTACTGAGTAATAAAGCATGAGAGTTAGGTAATTTATTGTGTAAAGCTTTTTGGTTTTAGAACTTTGTATATATTTCTTATAAATTGGCACAAAGAAAGATTTGAACGAACAAATTGTAGAAAATATTAGCTATAGCAATTAAAAATTTGAGAATAACATGCAGTAATTTAGTAAGTTGCTAAATTTTGAAAATTAAACCAAACCTTTTTTCGAATTTCTGATCGTCATATGCTAGTGAAAATTGGTTTTTTAGAATGCTGTACTCTAATCTATTTATGCTGTTTTCACCATTGATGATTGTCTTGACAGTGCTGTTCTGCTGATGCCGTCTACTATCATATCGTTTGGTATCTGAATTCAATAAACGTATTCCAAATATGTTTAAAAAAACTTAACTTTCATCAATATTTAAAGTGCCAGAAGTTATATTTTTTTTTAAATTAATAAGATAAGATATGGACATGTACTTCAACGTTGTATCCATAACTATCGACATTCTTTGCACTAGATTTGGTTTTAGTATGCCAAACTAGTACATCACGTGAATGGTTTTCAAGTCCAAAGGGTGTCAAATCGCTCCAACTTAATTTTAATTGCTTCAAAAGACACGGCTCTGGAGAAGGATCAGTGCATGTTTTCTTCCATCCAGCACTGCCAAAAATTATTCTATCATATAATATTATGCAAATTTTATCAAGAGTTTGATGCTATCCCTTTTCATAATAAATTAAATTCATGCATTCATTTTTTTAACAAACTGATGTAGTAATAAAAAGGGTATATTAACTGAGTTAATTCTTTGATTATATTTTTTTCATAAAAAAATATGAAGTGCTTTAATCAAAAAATAATTATTTAATTATCATCATCATACTCTCAGTGTATATTCACTTTCATATTATAAATTAATTTTCAGTTTAGTTTTGTAGTACAAACATTTTTCACTAAATTCAACCAGATTTTATCAGTATTCAAAAGAATATAACCACTAATATTAAAAAAAAAGTGGAATAAATTTCTTAAAGTTGTTACTGCTTCAAAATAACAGCATTAAAATATTTTACTGCAATGGCGTCCGAGGATAAGTACTGTAATTTCTCTATGTAAATGACGGTATGCAAAAGTAAAGAAAGATGTGTGTAAAATATTTAAAATGAACTTTCTTCTTTAGTACATATTATTAAAAAATGTACACGATTTTCTCATTATGAGTAGCGTTTCATAAAAAAATAAGTTATTATTTACCTGAAGGGTTCAAAGTGAAATATTTTTTATGTTTACTGAGAAAGAAGTACTTTATTTGCTGTTCTAATATTCGAAATTTATTAAAGTAAGACTTGAAAAAGAGTACATACATACTCGGGATTATCAATGAAAAGCTGTAAGTTTATCGCAAACCCAGCCATATCAAGACCCCAGAGACGTTTAGGTGCATATCTCGTTTGCCAACCGACCACTTTTTTATTCATTACTTTAGGTGCTTCAACAACATTATCTGCTACCAGACCTGCAGATGAACTTAAGCATTCATTCCTTACTATAATCATATTTTTTAAGTTTACTTTTGCCCAACATTTTTGTATTTACCATATAAAACTGCTATAAGTAGACAAAAAATCACAATTTTTATTAATTAATTCTGATATCTAGCAATACATCAGAGTTACTAAAATAATACTAAAAATTACTGCCTTGTTGTATTATTGAAGCAAATGTCCACAAAATTTGATTGCATAGATTACATGCAGTTTTAGAGGTAACAAAATAAAAAAATCGCTATGAAATACATACCAACTGCCCATACACCAACTTTGTCAACATTTCGGATGTACTCATTGAAAAGTCGAATATCATAAGAATTATCATCATCAGCAAAATATACCACTGCATTTTTACCTAGCCATGCAAAATGCTTCCGAACAAACTGCAATGCAGCTTCTCGCCCCGTCCAGCCACGTCCTGTAGTTTTATACTAACTGTTAAGTCTCAGAGAAAAAGTAGAATATCTCAGAGAAAAATATAATAATAATAATTTATTATTATTATTATATTTTGCTGATGATAATAATATAGTATATATTATTATTAGGGAATCCGACTTATTTATTATTATTAAAAATATAATAATAATAATTTATTATTAAATTATTTTTTATTTTTACTATTGTTATAATAAGTAATGACAATGCTCATTGTTCTTTGCAATTAAATTGACATGTATTAGTTATTACGGGGCAAAAATAAATGAATAAATAAATAAATTTAGAAGACAAAAGTTGTCGCATAAGTAAAAGTACGTAATACTTATTGATAGTACTAACTAGGAAATCCGATTCGGCGTTTTGCAGCAAAGTAAAAACAGTGTAAGCCAGTTCGATCCAGAAGTTGCTTCACCTGTATCGAAACATGCACGCTATCTTCTATAACAATCCATATCAAGTGTTTGATATGCATCAGTGTTTGTGATAACCTAAAGTTATATATATGTATTTTTGATAATCTGAAGTTAACGATTACACAACTGACATACTTTTTTCAATAACTTTTATATTATGCTAATTTTATTACTTATTTTTGAGATCAAGTTTAAATCAAAAAGTATTTGCGAAGTTTATTACAGAATAGAATTAAAAAATATTATGATGATTAAATCTGAAATTATTATAATACACTTTCAATTTATTGAAGCTTAGACTTGTGCAAGACTTAATTTGCTGACCTTGTCATGTCTGCTAATCTTGCTAATCGCAAATATGTTGGTGTAATTACAATTATGGTTCGATTCACTTGGTCATCACTCTTAGTTTTCAAATACTCCATAAAATTGCTTGGTCTCGAAAACGATTCTTGCACTATATGAATTTTATCATTTGTTTTCACCAAATGCACAATAATGCCAGCTTGAATGATAATTACCAAAATTGACAGCACTTTTTGTATACCGTTGTATGCAGAATCATGCAGACGTGGTTTGAATCTGTCAAGTGCAAGTTTATAACTAAAGATTTGATAGTAACTTCACTGAATGATGGATGAATCTTGCTGAATTAAGATTCTATGCGGAAAAAGGAATAAATTTTTGAGCAGTATCAATATCAGATAAACCTGAGGAAACCATCTTCACCAACTTACAATTATTATTTTGTTTGTTAGTATTTGCATAAACTACAAACGACAGTTATGAATTACTTTGAAAGTCATGGAAACAAATTATTGGTGAAGAACATTTGAAAATTGCTAAATTCGTTTCTACTTGCGACTGTTAGCTAATATCAAAATCTGTTTACAAAAAATTTTAGCTTCTCTTGTTTGTAATTTATGTTTTCTTCAAATGGGCAGCTAGGAAGAAACAATTGCAATAACTGACAAGATGTCATATATTTAGTTTTTCTTGAAAGTTTCATCCAGCAATTACGAAGTTATCATTTCTGGAATCTGTACAAAATCTTTTTTTTGCGCAGAACATCAATTACTGAACAGAGCATGAAATTATCAACTGCTTTCAAGTCCAATTTAATGATAAAAACTTGAATTGCCTTTATAACCTTGCAAATCTGACTTGTCGTGCTCGCATTTTTTTTACTATAGGCAAAAATAAATGATGCAGGCTTCACCACCACTTTCCACAGTTCTTTTGAGAAACATGAAAATTAAACAAATTTAAGGCTTTAAGTAGCCAATCCATTACAACTAAGTTTGAAATCTAGAAACAGTTGTTGTAACAGAACTAATATAGTATTCATACCAAAAAAACGAATGGCCACTTTCTCAGCTATCACAGAAACTTTCTAATTTCTCAAGAAGTAAATTGAAGATGAATGAACCGCACGAGCAAAAATGTAAATAATCTATTTAAGTCAGAATTTCCTCAAATAACTCTTCACTCTACTTCTTAATTAATAAAAAATGTATGAATTCAATGCTGTTAACAAATTTATACCCGAAATTGCCCACGCAACCGATCTAACGACCTTTACCAGAATAAATTTAAAATAATATATGAAAGTTAACTTTGCATACTCAGCACCACCATTCAAACATGATGTCTCGGTCAATATTCAAAAATGTCACAGTATTTTGATGCATATTTTCTATATAGAAAATTTGCATATACCAAGCTACTCTTTGTTGAATACAGCGGAAGTCTACTTTTTGAGTGATAAAAATCCGAGTTTCAAGAAAAAACATTAGTATCACTAACATATTTAATAATCATCTTCTTACTTTTACGTGTCTAGCTTCATATGTTTATTAAGCGTGGATCCATATTTTTATATGCGATGTTCGGCTTCAGATGTTTATTGAGGATTATTTAAGAGAAGACATTAAATTACTAGTCACATTAAATTGCAGTGGTAACTCTAAATCAAAAGGACAACTCCTTATCTCTAAATTAACCATTGCTGAACTTTTGATTTTGAAAACAGTACAAAGTGCTTGCAGAATTGAAAATGAAATACTTTTTGAAACAACATTTGGTTCTGATCCCAATTCTGGATCTAATTGAAATCTCCCTCTTACTCAAAAAACTCAAACTATCAGATGAAATCAGAGTATGAATAGCTGCATGAAATTCCCTCCATCCTTCATACTCACTGTACACGCAAAGTACTAAATGATATAAAAATCAGTCATCGACAGCAGACTTTGTGTCATTCAACTAGTACAGTACGACGGGTAGCCAAAACAATACTTGTTCACTATGAAGTAGTTTTTCCACAACTGAAATAGCAAGAATAATCAGATATCAAAAACTGCAAAAATACATGAACCCCCTTCACTAACATCTTGTTCTTCAATACTTCGCTGTTACTTACTGAGCATTATTAAACTACACCCATTCCACCTACATTTAATTAGCATTTTCTAACTCAATAAAAATCTCCGACTTGATGAATAAATTGCACAAATGAATATGCCTCCACCTTGTTTAGAGACATCACGAGAAAATAATTCCAGTTCGGCATTAAATATCAGCTTTTGAATCACAATATACAAACTTCCTAAAAATAACACCACAAGAATGACTTCAAATACACCTAACAAAATATTTTAAATAGCATTTCATCTTTCCAACTGAAAGAGAATACGAAAAATAATATACCTCGACTTTTGAAACAAAATTATATCACTGCACTTTTCACTTCAATCTACTCCAATCAGCAATCTAGAGATTTACTCAATAATATCAAAAGGAATCTAGCAACGAACTTCCCGAAAAATGATACAAATAGATATCACAATGATCTAGTGCCCGAAATTCACGAACATACGAATATGTTCCTGAATTTCGGGCACTAGATCATTGTGATATCACCAACAAATTTAGAAAATCAACTAAGCACTTTGTAGGAAATGTATTTCAAAAAATAGTTAAATCTGTAAAATTCATGACTAGCTGCCAAACCACAATTTCCAGTACATGGATCAAGGAGGAAATCATGGATACATTAAAACATGAGTACTAAGACACCGAAAAAATAAACATAAACCGCATTACAAATCTTTATATTTACTGATTAAATATGTATTAAAAAATAGAGTAAGTGAATAGTGAAATTGAAATGTGCCGCTAAAATGTAATACACAAGATAAAGCACCAAAAAAAACCTATCACAAAAGAAATGCACAGGAATGAAACAGAACCAAAAAACAAACAATATACAAGAATTAGAAGAATAAGGAGATCAACGTTACCGACTGGTCAACATAATATGAAAAAATACTTTTGCACAATAAAATAAATTCCTAGCGAAATGAAGGCATATTATGGTTAAAAAATTCATGACTGACTTCGAATAGCAAAATTATTTCACTCTTCGCTGCTTTGTCATACTACGCATTGGGGCACCACTAGATGCGTTAGAGGTGTTTACTTGCCGTTTCCGGACACCTAGAAAAAATAAAAACATAAGAAAAAAATTCAATTAGTCTGCATCATCATGTTTGTGAGATGAAACCGATGAGAGCAAACAAAAACACAATTTAAGAAAAGAATACCAAACCTGAAGAAGATTCCGACTCATGTGCGTTCATCAGTTCTTCAGCTTCTGAAATAAATCAAAATAAATAGTGCCATATGAAAAATACCAGTTACTTATAAACAGAAGCGAAAACTAAGATAACTTAACAAATACCTGCAAAAAACGATGCTGGATTCTCTTCTGGATTATCTACTTCTGGTGAAATTGGTAAGAACCACAGAGGACCACGCTTTCCTGTTAAGTCTGTAACATACATGCTTCCATCATCATCTTCATCCGAACTACAGTATACAGCATTTCGCTTCAGAGTTACCACATCAACAATTTCGTCATCCTCCTCCTGATTATGACCAATTTAATTTTGAATAGTAAAGATTATCAGTTTTCGAAAGCTGTTTGGGCACTAATGTTTGCAAAAACAAGAAAAACTTGCGAAAAATTCGGAATAACCTTATGAATTTGTGGAACCGGTTCATCCGCATCTTCATCCTCCAAATCAAATTCTGACTCCTTTTCAATATATTTAACGTTTTCTTCAAGTTCTGTGAATTCAGGTGCAAAGGCACTCCAATTTTCAACATGGGCCTAAATTATCCCCTTGAAATTTCGTATTTGAACTAAAGCTAGACTTAGTTAATCAAGTCTAACCTGAGTCCAGATAGATACCAGACCATTAGCAATAGAAAGTATGATAGGACGGGTCGGATGCCACTGAACATCATGCAAAGCTTCACCCTTTAATGACAAAGAAGTATTTTGAAATGTCAAACAAAAAGTTTCGGTACTTGAAAGAAGTGATTTTCTGCTTCAAGGCTTAATTACAAACAAGAATGCCAAAAAAAAAACAAAAAAACAATGAGCAACTTCAAGCAATGACAGATTTATGTAAAACACTTTAAATATAAACCTTGGTACCGTGCAACATCTTGATCAGACTTCCAGAATTTCTTTCCCAAATATATAGCGAGTGAGCTTTCGTACTGGCACCACAAATATAATCACCATCATTCGATACAGATATCGCTTTCCATGATGCCTAAATATATATATTTCAGTTTGATAAATTGAAAGGATAATATTTAGGGAAACGCATGAGCGATAATACAACAGTCATATATAACTCCAATCAAATCAATATCACACTGAGGTTAATCTTCCTTCATGGACTATCGATTCTGAACTGGATTGTATTCTGGCATTCTCGTTGCAGTTGCCACACCCTCAGTTCTGCTGTGTTGATCTTTGCCACTTCGTCCTCGTCAAATCCACGGAACTGATCGACTGAGATGATTTCGAGCGTCTTCTTGAGCACTATCAACTGAACACATGCCTAGAGTGATCAGATACAATGATTTCCTTTGTGTAACGTTTAAGGAAGTTTGTCGTCACTAGCCCATCCCAAGTCATCGCATACGGAGTAATTTTCATCTGTACCCGCGAGCTTATTAGCTAGTAAATCATACTTTTGCTTCTTCTCGGTCTCGACTGCTATCAACTTCTCCTGACCAGTGATGCCAACCTCTATAAAGATTACTTCATCTCGCTTCTTGCCGTGTACCAGGATGTCCGGTGGATCCGTTTTTATTTTAATTGCAGTTATTACTCGCGTATCGATTCTGATTTCAACGTTCTCGTTAGCGACGATTTCCTGAACGGAGTGTCTCCGTAAGCATGGAAATGCTTCTAGGTCCATGCATAAAACGAACAAGATCTGAGAAAGACTGTCACCTTGAGAGATTCCCCGCTATATTTTTTTTCCATTGCTTTTTAATGTAACCCACCATTTGGAATTATGCTTTTCAAAAACCTACCAATCCACATTGGCATGTTGAGCTTTTCGATACACTTAATCAGATAGTTGTGACTAAATCGAACGCTTTTTTAATGTCATACCACGTAGTAAATACTGGTTTACATGTTCTCTGCATATCGCCAAGTTCACAAGTGCTTGCTCTCTTACACCTTGAACCTATCTAAGAGTTCCTGATTGGTTGTCTGTAAGTAGTCTTCTCGTGGCAATATTAAATTGTATGACTGGTGTCACACATTTCGCTGCCAACTTGTAAAGGTTTGACATATAGGTTACTGCCTTGAGTTACTACCTTTGTTTGGGACATCTTTAGGAATCAGATAAGTCGTTCCTTTGTAGAACCATGAGTCCTGTTCCTCCCCATCCAAGCAGATCCGCCTAATTATTTTATACAGATTTGGATGTAAAGAGGGTGCACTTCTTAATGAAGAAGTTATAAACTCCTGCAGGACCGTCGTCTTCCACTTGGCACACAGAAAACTTTCTTCCCAAATTTGTCTTCAGATGGGAAAGTATCATGCACTTAGTGATTTGGAACAAATTCTTCCAAATATTCGTTGTGTCAGATATCATGATCCTTTCGCATGGTACTCCAAAAACCCCTGCTTTTTTCTATCCTTAAATTGTAATTGACAGGCTGTTCTTCAGTAGATTCCTATAGAACCATCTTCTGAATGACTCAAATTTGGCGTTTTGGATTTTAAATGCACATCAGGACTCATAGCTTTTTGATTTAATTTCATAAACTGTCACAAGCTTTGCTAGCATGCTTAGGGCCTCATAACAACCACTTTTAAGAGCAAGCATGAATGCTCTTAACTTTTTGGTCTCCCTTAGATCTTTACCTCCAAGTTTTTTACCTTCCAAAGTCCATTCTATGAAGGTTTTGTCGAAATTAAACAAGCTTACCTTATTTTCTATGCTTGCCTTTCACCTGAATGGCTTCTCGTGTCTTGTAATATTTTTATAGTACTGTTGTGCTACTTGAAGCTGCTTTGCAAGATTAGTCATTGACTTTGTGGGATTCCGCGTGGTATATTTACCCACTGCTTGGTTTACAGCTCCAAGTATAAACGAGTCAAATTCCTCGAGATTATTTCCTGCATCCACTTTTTCTGATCGATATCACATAATCAGGACTCTTACATCAATACAAGGTACTTCTGCTTTACGTCTAAATAAACCTTAGACTCATGAAGCGTACTTTTTTCGAAATAGGTGTCAAATGTTTTCACAAGCTTTGCCGTCTGTCGCAGGAACCGTTTCTGCGAGCACAGACGACCTGGAATACTGATGCTGCAGAAATTGCTTTCTTCTTCAGTTCTTGGAGGGTAATTGCATATAAGAACTTTGTTATACAAGGAACTATACAAGGTTCATTCCTCTTGGTATCCTCTTGAGACGATTAAGGACTACCTTCAGCACTTTACCTGCCCAGCTTCACTTAGGAACCTCGATCCCTCGGATAAGTACTTTGAGCGTAATCATCTTGCTGGTCCCTGATTCGGGCACACCGGTAAAGTGCTCTCTCATATCCTTGCAGAGTTTTTCAAAATCTCACCTGTTTTCCCATTGTTTTCTACGATGAATAAAGATGCGATTTTCCTTCGTTCATTTTCCACTTTCTTCTCAGACTCCTTATATTCTGACTGCAAAATATAGCACTCTACTTTGGAGTTTCCAACTCTTTTTGCCATAGTCTTTTCTTCCTCTGTGCTCATTTCATGCGTATCTTTCTCCTTTATCTAGTTCGTCATCGTTGTTTCAAAAGTACTGCAACAAGGGGTTTCATGAGCATAAACGTCATGGCTCGTTACTTTTTTCTGCATGAAAGTCGCCTGTGAAGTCGAAAATTCTTCATGAATGCATTCCCAATAATTAAATAACTGATCTGATTGACTGTTGAAATGTTCTCTTTTTTTACAACCATTTCCACCACACTGGCATGTTTGACCGTCGATACCATTGCTTTTGTTGTTGCAACTGATCGTACTGGTATTTCTACTAGTTACTTCTTCCATAGTAGCATCATGACATCTTCATCACAGATTAAGATAAAACAAAGAAAGGAATAGAAACCAGTAGGAACGGAGAAATAATGCGTTCCTTCCATGATCATGCAAAGTCTGTCGTCCATGACTCTTCAAACTTGGGTAATTAAACTTCAAACTTATATATATATATATATATATATATAT